TTGACTCAACGGCACATAACAACAACAACAACAAGAGACTCCAGCATTCAAACCCAGATTCTGGACAGGCATAATAAGATAATGGCACCAGTACCTAGAAAGTGAAACTCATTTAAACCTGGGGAAGATAAGGGAAGACCCCTTTACTCCATTGTAGAAAATGTATTTCAAAGACAATGTGATGTAGTGGAGAAGCATTTCTGAAGGAAAGCCAGAGCCCTTTTCTATCTCAGGTTTCTTACTGTCTTTTTTTTTTTTTTTGGAACTTGAAGCTCAAAGTCTATGGCTTCATCAAAGAAGTTCCAAATCCCAAAGGTGAGATAGCTCTCATCTGGAGCCGGGTGTGTGCCGCTCTAAGTTTGGCTGGGAACGGAGTCACCTGGGAATCCTTCCAGCAGGTGGCTTCCAAAGTCCAACCTGCTAGGTTGAAACCTGACACTTGTCAAGATTCCCCTGGAGCTGCCGCTGAAAGCTAAACTGAGAACCAGGAAATGCATGAGCCTCTTAATGTTGGAAAACAGCTGGTCTTCCTTGGAGACTGAGCACTATGGGAAACCTGCTGGGCTGCGGGGGAAGCTGGTGAGTAGGGGGAAAGGGCAGAGGTGGGAAAGTCTTTGTTGTTGGACTATGGAGGTCCTATGAAGAGGAGAGTTCCTTCCCCTTCATTACATGCATGAGTAAGAGAAAGCCTGGAGATAATTCTCTGCCAACCTCCGACTGCCACCTCCCTCTGCCAGGCACCTCTTGGTTCCAGCACCAGAGCAGCACCCCCTCTGTGTTTCCTCCTTTCAGGAGACTTCAGAAAACACAGCCAAGCCAGATGTCTGTATAGAATGGCCAGAGCAGGGCTGGAATGGTGAATAAGACATTGTTTCTCTTTGTCCTCTTCCCCTTTTTCTTCTCTCCCTTTCCTTCTTCCAATAGTCATAGCCTTTTTTAATTTTTATTGTGATTTGAATAAAAGTTTACAGAGTAAATTCATTTTCCACAGAGGAGTTCATACACATTTTGTTTTATGACATTGACTAATTCCCCACAATGTAACAGCTCTCTTCCCACTTCCTCCCTATAGTTACCTCTTCAGTGTGTCCTTCCCTCCCACCTACTCCTGTCCCCCAACCCCAGCTGTCTCCCTGGGCAAACACTGCCCTTGTGTTCTCCCACAATTGATTGCTCCAAGGAGTATATCTACCTGATGTAAAAGTTTACCCCATATGCCTGTATGCTGTTTGGCTGGAAGTCACAGGAATGAGTTCAGTTCCAGACCTGAAGGGTAAGTAGGGGCCATAGTCTCAGGGGTCTCACAGGCTTTATCAGCAAACCAGCAAACCTGGTCTTTTAAATATAATAATCATAGCATTTGAGCATTTACGCTGTGCCAGGCACTTTACAAACAAGCTCATTTAATTTTCACAACTCCATGAGGGAAGTTGTTTTCCCCTCCCCCTATTTTACCACTGAGGAAGCTGAGACTTCCTAGAAATTAAGTTACTTGCTCAGGGTCACATGACTAGTAAGTGACCCAAGATTCAAACCCCAGTTTAACATTCTTAAGTGTTACTTAAGAGTCCCTGCTTTTAACCAATACATAATACTGCCTTCCAGAGCAAGCAAACTGGTTTGGAGAAATGTTTATTTAAAAGAGCAGAAATGGGAGGTTATCTAAAGAATATCTGAATGTATCTTTCACACTTAATTGCTGGGTGACCTTAGGCAACTTCCTTAACTTCTCTGTTCCTCATCTGTTAAATATAGACTATATGACCTACCTTGTTTACATCACACATATGTTTTAAAGAACAAAGAATATAGTGTATGTGAAAACCTCATAATAAATTATTTGTGGTAGTGTTGGTCTTACTCAGAAGTGTCATCACTATAGACTCTTGAGCCTGGTTTTATTCTGTCCACTGCCTTTTTAGCTATACCAGTCCCTGCCTGGGTCAGATCTTGGGGGTGTTTTATTTGTAAATCAAGCATCATTATATTTAGATGCAGGTGAGGTACACGGTTTCCAGTGTACATAAGATTTCCACATAAGCTTTGGAGTCTGTACATTGGATTTATGTCCTATTCCTCCTGTTCACTCATTTATCCCTTCATTTATTAATCAGACATTCATTGACTATCTACTATGTATCAGGCCAACTGTTAGATCCAGAAGACACAGTAATGAAAAGGAAATTTGGTCTCTAGCTTTGAGTAAGGCATCAAAGTCCTAGGGCCTTAGCTGATTCAGGAACAATAATTTGTGTTTCCCGGAATGTTATCAGGATTGAAAGAAAATAAAACTCTTAAAGCACTCTTTAAACTATGAGATGTCCTCCAGATATAGGACATCTAGAGATCTTTAAGGGCTTCAAGAGAAGGAGATGTAACAGTTTCTTTCACTCCCCTTCTTTTCAAGTCTTCACATTCTTCATTATTGGTCAGTTCTTCCTCTGAGTTCTGATAGTCATGGTAGTTGTACTAGTCAACTTTTATTGATGTTCATTATATGCCAGCTGCTTATATTTATTATTTTATATTAGTCTTATAATAATCCCAAGAGGTTTATGTTCTACTACTTTCCTCATTTCATTAATAACAGAGGCTTAGGGTGGTTAGAAAGGAGCTCTGGCGGAGTAGTGGATAAGGCATCTGGTTGCTAACCAGGTCAGTGGTTCAAACGCACCAGCTAGCTGTCCATGGAAGGAAGATGGGGTGATCTACTTCTGTAAAGATTTACAGCTTCAGAAATCCAATGGGGGTTGCTGTGAGTCAGAATCGACTTGATAGCAGTGAGGTTTTTTTTTTTTTTTTTTTTTGAGGGTGGTTAGAAACGTGCTGAAGGTCACAAAGCTAGCGAACATAAGCATTCTGATTCTAGAACCTATGCTAGATTCTAGAACCAGTACCCTAGATTCTAACCAAAATCTGTTTTCCCTCATAAAATATTAATAGGATTATTTAAAAATTGTTCTCTTCTATTTCTCATTACCTCAATAAGCCTCCAGGCATTCAAAGTTACTATGACAATTCCAGAGTTTTTCACTATAAATTTTCTTTTTCTGATTGCAAAAGTAATAATACATACTTACTGTAGAAAATTTGGAAAACAGCAAAAAGTAGAAAATAAGGGCAGTGGCGGCGGTTACTGGGAAGGGAGAAGAGGAGAGTGGGTTAGGGTTAGGGATGGTCATTGGGGAGTGAAACCAAATGTACATGAAATGTTGAATGTAAAACAAACTCTGCTCTGTAAATTTGCATCTAACGTACAATTTAAAGAATATATATGTATAGCCCATTTAACCATAAAAAAAGTAGAAAATAAGATGCGAACTATAAATATAAGCACTCAGAAGTGACACGAACTTTTTAGCATATGTCCATGTAATCCTTTTTGAATGCTTATGTGCAGTTTTTATTCCAAAACATATCTTACATCTTTTTTTTTTTAATTTAATAAGAATGAATTTTTCCATGATTGTAAACATTCTTCCAACATCTTTTTAAAATGTCTGCATAGTATTACACTGGTTGGATAAGCCATTTATTTAGACAATTCCCAAATGTTGGGCATTTGGGATATTTCCAATTTTTATGTTTATAAATAGTACTGTAATGAGCATCCAGATTTTCACAGGTCTCTATTTCTTAGGATATGAAATTGCTACATCATAGGGTACACACATTTATTTTTCAGACTTTTTATACTTATTGCTAATTGCATTCCAGAAAGATTGCAACAATTTTTATTCTTACTACCAGTATAGGACAGTGCCCATTTAGTCTTCTCAATTCTGAACTAAAAATAAAATCCCTTCATCTATGAATCTAACTGAATTCTCTGGGTTATGTTCAACCACTGTGCAACATCCAACTTGGAAATAGGTTCTCTTCACTAAAATTGGGTAGACTAAATTATGTATTTCAGAATTAGTGTTCTCTCTCTCTCTTTTCTTTTGTAATAATACTGTATTTTCAGTGAATGTATACACAGAAATTTAGATTCCTATTCCACAATTTCTACATAAATTATTTGGTGACATTGTTTATATTCTTCACAATATGTGAGAATTAATGTTTTCTTTATCCACTTAAACAGAAATAAGTAAGAAGACAGTAGCAACAATGGACAAGGAATTAGAAACTAGGATAAGGCTATGACTAGGCAGTGAGAAGAGAATGTAAGAGCTGAAGTGGCAGGAGAGAAAGTAGAAGATACAGAAGTAGTTTCAAAGTTTTTCTTCTGAACCACTGTAAAATCTGGATGGAGGCTCTTCTCTCAACTCAGCAAACAGAATTAAAAACAGAAATGATTATGCTGAGTGAAAAAGGTCAATCTTAAGAGGTCAAATATAGTGTGATCCCACTTGTATCTAGAATAAGCAAGTCTATAGAGACGAACATTTACAAATGGTTACCAGGGCTGAATGAGAAGGGAAGGAGGAGAAGGACTCAACAGTTAGATGGCACTGAGCTTCTTTCTGTTAAGGGTGATGGTATAATCTGGGAATGGATAAGGGTGATGGTTGAACATGATGGACGTAATTAATGTCACTGAACTCTATGTGTGAAGATTGTTGAAATATCAAATCTTTTGTTACAAAAAAAGTAAACCAAAACAAAACCACAAATCTCTGTCATATTTGTCTGGAAAAATTCTGATTTTTTTCCACAGTAGCAAAATCAACATGACTTAGGAGTTTCTCTCCCTCTTTCTTTTTAATTAGCAAAACCAGGAAACTTCCCTAGGGAGACAAGCAGTTAGACAAGTAGGCTCTGGTGACAGCTGGAAATGTACTAGCAAGAAAAAAGTATCCAGAGTAAGTCCCAAACTATTCAGCAAATTTCTCAGAGCAATGTTGTTTCTCCTGGCATCAAACACTTGACAATCACGCAGACACACAGGCTTCACAGGGTACCCCAGGGGTCCAGAAAGGAGTCTAAGAGGTCTGTGCTGAAGCGTGGGTGGGGCGGCTGAGTCACTCACCAAATTCAGCGCTCCCTGTGCTGTGGACAAAGTTCTTGAAAGGACATTAAAGGTTAAATATCTCTCACTTCCTCTGTTAATTGAAAACAAGGACAGGGAAGCAGAGAGGGAGGTCATCTGTTATAAAAGGGCTTTGAGGGGACCCTAATTAGTTAGCCCTGGTTATGGCAGTCTCTATGATTCCCAGCATGAAAGCCCACCATTGGCAGAGCCCCCCCCAGAAAAAAGCACTGACTAAGAAAAAACAGTTAACTCTGAATCCAGCAATATCCCATTGTTTGGTAGTTTTCCCTCACCCTCTGTTGGGACTGGCCTGTTAGACAATCCCAAAATAGTCCTCAGCCCAGCTTCATCCCTGGCATGTAGTCCCTGGTTGCCTGAAGCTGTATTTTGGGTTTGCTTATGTCAGTTGTGCCACTCTACCTTCCAGAACCATCTATTTGGGAGAGGTGTGGTACTTTTTTTTTTTGTCTGAACATTTTATTGTGGTTTGGGTGAAATTTTACAGAGCAAATGAGTTTTTTGTTAAACAATTTATATGCATTTTGTTTAGTGACTTAGTTGTAATCCCCTCAATGTGACAGCAGTCTTCCCACTTCCTCCCTGGGTTTCCTGTTTGCCTTCGCCCTTCTTTCTTGCCCCTTCCTGCCTTCTGAACTTTGTTTTTGAGCAAATGCTGCCCTTTTGGTTTCACGTGGTTGATTCTTCTGAGGAACATGTTTCTCACGGATGTTATTGTTCACTTTAGAGGCTTGTCTATTGTTTGACTGAAAAGTGATGTCCAGGAATTCATTCCAGGTTTGAAGGTTGTCTAACAGCCATAGTCTCAGGGGTGGGTGTGGTACTCTCGACAAATCCTTTGGGGCTGAACCTGGCTCAGGATGAGTCTTTGTTGGAAGAAAGTTGGGAAGAGTCATCCCAGAATTTTAAGGAGACCACAGAGCAAATAATAAAGGAGGGATGCCCTCGCACATGGTGATCTGTTTTTCCTGTCACAGGAGCTGCTCCTCACCTTTCCAGCGAAAAAAGAAAACAGGTAACTATGTGTGGGGAAGGTCTGAAGAAATCAAGGGGTTGGGAGGCGACAACCTAGAGAGGAGAAGACAGCAGAGTCATTGTCTTTGGAAAGGATGTAAGAGTTGAAAAGAGGAGCAGCTTTGGAAGGGATTAAAAAAAAAAACCAAAACTGCCATTAAGTTGTTTTCGACTCATAGTGATCCCTCCAAGGAGTGGCTGGTGGGTTTGAACCTCTAGCCTTCTGGTTAGCAGTCAAATGCCTTAGGCACTATGCCACCAAGGATATAATACACTACAGAGAATCTTTAGTGTAGAGTGACTCAGAACCTCTGGATTGTTCTTTCCATTATGGCAGAGTGACAATGTTGGTTACTTGTTTCTTCATTCAGCCAACAGATATATACTGAGACTTACATTGCATGTGGAGGTAGAGAGGCATAGAAAGAAGGAGACTCTCTCTTGGCCCTGGAAAATTTTAAAATCACGTTTGAGGAAGAGATATGTGAATAAATAATGGCAATGCCATCTATGATTGTTGTTGTTGGCTGCTGTTGAGTTGGCCCCTAACTCATGGTGACCCCATGCACAATGTGATTGGACCATTGTGATCCATAAGGCTTTCATCAGCTGATTTCCAGAAGTGGATATCCGGGCCTTTCTTCGTAATATCATCTACTAAAAGTATCATAGAAGCATACTAATGCCATGGGAGAATGGGAAAGAGCACCAATGTTAGGTAGAGGATTAGGAGAGAGAGAGGAGAAAAAAAAAAGGAGAAGAGAGGAAGAGTGAGGAGATGGACTTGATTGAAAGTGGCAGATAGTTTGATGTAGCTGAGCATGTACCACATGGTATTGTAACACTAGTCTGTTAACTTATTGGTCCCCTCCTAGTAGGCAGTAAAGGAGCCCCGGTGGCACAGTGGTTAAACACTTAGCTGCCAATTGAAATGTCAGCAGTTTGAACCCACTAGCCACTCCAGGGGAGAATGAGGTGGCAGTCTGTTTCTGTAAAGATTTACAGCTGTGGAAACCCTAGGTGGCAGTTCACCTCTCTCTGTGCTATAGTGTTGCTGTGAGTTGGAATCAACAGCAATGGGTGTTTTTGTTGTCATTGTTTTGTTTTTAGTAGGTTATAAGCTCCCCGAGGCAGAGAAAACATCCTCCTCATCTTTCTGTCCTCCAGAGTATGGCAGGCTCCTTAGAGCCTGGCATGTAAAGGACTCTCAACATATATTCATTCGTTAGGGGCTGTGATAAATGAAGGTGGAAGACATCATATAGTGATAGTGAAAGGGCCAGATTGTATACCCTGCTAAGGAGTTTGGCTGTGAGATTTGCAGAAGTGGAAAGAGAACAGAATGGAAACAAAGATATGAGGCAGGAGATTACCATAATAGTTTAATAGAGATATTTGAAAGGGGCAATCTCAGCGGAGACAGGGAAGAGAGGATGGTTTTAGGTTGGGTTTCTTCCCCTCGGAGGAACCCCTGGGTGGTGCAAATGGTTAAGTACTCAAATACTAACCTAAAGGTTGTTGCTTTAGAAATGCCTTAGAAGAAAGGCCTAGGGATCAACTTTTGAAAAATCAGCCATTGAAAATGCTACAGTGCACAGTTCTGTTGTGACACACATGATCAGCGGTATCTGGTCTGGTTTCTGGTTTTGTTTCTCTCAGAGAACCAAATAAGACAGCTGTATAAGCAGCAGCAGCAGCAGCAAAGGCAGCAACAGCAGAATGGCACAAAGGTAATGACAGGCCTCTGTCCTTTCCCTGGGCCGTTTAGACATGGGATCCCAATAAGCTTTTTTATCTTCTGACAGACATCTGTAGAACTTACTGGTTCTGCCCACCTCCCATCACCCTGTGTTTTGGTTACCTAAGGCTGCTCTGATGGGAATATACCACAAATGGGATAGCTTTAACAAACAGGAGTTTATTCTCTTACAATGTTGGAGGATAGAAGCCTGAGTTCAAAGTGCCAGGCTCTAGGGGCTGGGTGAAAACCCCTCGACCTGGGGCTTCAGCTCTGCCTCTTGCTTCTGGCCCACTAAAGCTGGAGGCTTTCTTCACTCAGGGAGCTGCTGACTGCTGAGGCTGACAAACCCAAGGTTAACAGGTAAAAAGGCACAGTCCTGATATTACCAAACCACACGGAAGGCCATTGATTCAAGTCCATTGAAAGTCCCAAGATCGGCAGAGCATGGCAGGCTGCTGACCAACGACTTGGCTACATGCAGGAGTCAAGCATACCAAAAGCTGCAGACCATTCTCAAAGCTTCTTCTAATATACAGGACGCATAACCACATCCCTAAAGCAGCTACCAAACTGCTTGTGGCAGATTCTATCATAGAGTTGATTGCCAGTCTCATCATGGGCAATAACTACCACCAGCTGCCCAGACACTCAAAACCAGGCCCAATCAAGCTGACATATAACCTTAACTACCACACCCCCTAAAAGGACAAAGTGAGGGACATCAGTCTAACTAGCCCTGCATTGGAGGTAAAGGGCAAAACCAAGATTCTCTCTTAATGCTGTCCATTCCTCACAGGGCCCTGAAACACCAGAAAATACCTATGAGCGGGTGTTTGAGCAGCTTGAGCTTGGAGAGAGGAGTCAAAGCTTCAGGTCAGAGGAGAGCAACTTACACTACGCTGACATCCAGGTGTACAGCCAGACCCAGTCACGCTCTGCCTGGGAGGTGAAGAACCTGCAGTTAGAAAATGCTACAGAGTATGCAACCCTTCGCTTCCCCCAGATCACAGCCCGCTATGACAGCAAAAATGGGACTCTGGTGTGAGCCTGGGGGCAGGAGCCAGTTTCCATCATTATACCACTACACCTGTGAAGGAGAATCTGTTGGTTTGGGGAGTTGGGTGGCAGTACCAGGGCCCCAGAGCCCCTGGAGTTGTGAGGGTCTCCAGTCTTGCCTGTTTCTTATTTGCCACCCTTAGCTTGGAGTTGTATTTGGATTACCTAGTGATGGATACAGTTCAACAGAATGCGGGTGCTAGGTTGAGTTAGCAGAAAAGTAGGGCTCTGACCTCTACCTTTGCTCCTGCTCTGAAGAAAAGTACATAAAGAACATGTTACCCCATAAGAACTGGGCTGGTCTTGTTGGACTTTAGTTAATGGTATGTTCCTTACACACCTTAAACTCCAAAGCTGAAGAAGTGTTTGGAAAAGCATTTTGAGCTTTTGCATACAGCCCCCAGGAAGGTTTGAGTTTATTCCTCACTGGCGGGATCAAGATTCCCAGACCTAACCAAGCAAGTGGGGGCAGAGGCTGAAGCCTGGAGACACAAGGTTTTCTGAACATTGGCTATAAAGACTTCGTGTCACTGGTACTGATAGCACGGTGGGGCCCAGAAATTCCCCTTGGCTGGACTGTTGGCTCTCTTGAACGTGGAGATGCTGGTATCAATAAATTGCTTAAAGAATGTGACTGGTGTGTTTTCTAGGGTGGGAAAACTATGGAAATGCAACGAGGATCCTGCTCTGTCCAAACACATTCAGAAGTCCAGCCAGTAGAGTGGCCAGCACACTCCACGTTTACAGGGGCAGAGCCTGTCTGAGGCCCTGGAAGCAGGATGCGGGTGCTGGCCGGCGGGAGGCAGGGTTCTGTCCAATAGGAGCTGTCAAGACCAGCGGGAGCAGGCTCTGGCCGGCAGGGGGCGGGGTCAGAACCGTCAGAGGCCTGGACCCGGCCTGGGCGGCAGGAGGTGGAGCTGGAGCCAACAACGGGTTGGCTCCGGTTGGCTGGAGGCGGGCCAGGCCCAGTCAGGCCTCTGTGTCACCATGGCAGCGGGAAGGCAGCAGCGACGCCTGAGAGAGAGGAGGCCGTTTCTAATAGGGCCTGGTACGGAGATGCTGAATCAGACAAACCGATGATTTAAGAGGTAGGTGCTGAAAGGTGCCGGGTAACTGGGAACTAAAAAAGAGACTCTACCACATTATTTCCACTGGCTGAGCGTCCAGATCTGAACTGGGGACACGAGGAGCGGGGCTAAGGAGGGGTGGGAGGAAGGAGACTTCCAATTACGGAAGTTTCGAGGTCCGAACCATCTCTAAGCCTACCTGGTTCGTAGTGTGCAGTTCCTGATTCAGACTTTTAGAACTAGGAGTAACTCATTTCAGCTAAGTGGTAACTCATTTCCCTTTCTCAACCTATCAATCCTCTGCAAGTATCTCTGTCCCCTGGATTGGTCCCTGACAGGAACGGTTTCCTTAAAAATGGGTAAACCCACTGCCCTGGAGACAATACCGACTCATAGTGACCCCCATTGGGTTTCCGAGACGGTAAACCTTTACGGAAGTAGATTGCCCAGTTTTGCTTACGTGTAGTGGCTGGTGGGTTTGAACCACCAACCTTCTGGTTACCAGTCAGATACCTTAGGCACTGTGCTGCCAGAGCTCCTTAGGATGGGTAGAATACTGAAAATAGACTAGCAGCAAAAAAGTTGGTAATGATACTATCTACCTCATAGAGTGAGGAGCTCTGGTAGTGTAGTGCCTAAGGCACTTGACTGCTAACCAGAAGGCTGGCGGTTCAAACCCACCAGCCACTGCTCGGAAGAAAGGTTGGGCAATTTACTTCCATAGTGATACTGCCTCGGAAACCCAAGGAGGGGTCGCTATGTGTCGGGTCCGACTGGATGGCAAATAACAACAACAACACCACCTCATGGAGTGATTGTGAGAATTTAAAGCACTTGGAACAGTGCAGAGTATGCAGTTAAGTGTTGATAATAACGCCATCATCATTCAAAAGAGGTCAGTTGGAGGACTGCCTCCACTGATCATTGGTGGAGCAACTCCCAAGCATGTTTTCTATAACTGGGGCTAATACAGTTAACCTTATCTGTCACCAAGGGTTATTTATTGTGAGGGTCAAATAAGATGATGTAGGTGATAGCACTTTGAAGTCCTAAGGATGGAGGGAAGTGAGTGCTGGAAGCAGAGCTCCCAGTATTTCTCCTGATTGTCTTCTGGGTATTCCCTATGGTTCTTGACTGTTAAGTGTGGGTAGGTGGGAAAATGCATCCATGCTTAACTAATAATAGGGAAGCATTCCTCTCTTCTGTATTATCCCTAAGTCCTAAATGAGTAAATTTTTAAATGCCATTGGGATAGCCTTATTGTGGTTATAATATCTTGGGCTTGATTTTCTGCTAACCAGGGCTCTATTTCTGATACTTGGAGGTGACTCAAGTTAGTAGTTTAGGGGTGGGGACTAACCCCACTAGGGTGGTTTAGCTCTTAGGATTTCTTTCCAGTGCACTATCTTTGCATATTTCTTTCTCTTCCTATTTTAAGGTGGCCCTGATCCAGCTCTTCTAGGGACTCAGAAGATGGGGACTCAAGTGGTTATGAGAGTCTATAACTCCTTGCTGCCAGCAGAGCCCTCTGTAAGTTTCAGACGTACTGTTGAGAGAAGCAGGATGACATTACTGCCGTTTCAGTACAGTTCTACAACTGGGAAAGTTCTCCTCCATCAGGACTCAGATCCTGAAACAAAATTATAATATATTTTCCTTCTTTCTATTTCTTATGGAAAGTCTAGCTCACTTGGGCCATCTTTTTCTGGAATTGATCAAATCAGGCAGAAGTTGAAAAATCTAGCCATTAACCAGAACAAATGCATTTTTAAAAAACTTAGATAAAAAATATTTGTTATAGAAATAATGTACCTTAATTATAGAGCATTTGGGAAATAGTGCAAATGATGATTGAAAAACAACAAAACTATAGTTCTCCCATCCAGAAGCAACCACTGTTAATACTTTGGAATATTTTCTTTTTATCTTCATAATTTTTCCATGTTTGAAATTATCTTATACACACACTTTCTTATTTTCATTTTTTTCACTTAACATTTGATATTATAAAATTGTTATATGTTTGTTAAACATTATGTTTTTAATTTTCTTGGTCATTTTTCTTTGTTGGACTTTTAGGTTGTTTCCCTCCCACCTTCACTATAAAGAACTAATTTATTTCCTCATTTAAGACTCTTTTTCCTTAGACTATTTTTCTAGAAGTAGAGTTTCTAGGTCATGTTCCCTTAGGAACGTTTAAACTGATAAGTTACCATTGTTGTTGTTGTTGTTGTTATGTGCCATCGAGTCGGCCCCGACTCATAGCGACCCCTCCTTGGGTTTCCGAGGCAGTATCACTACGGAAGT